TTCGCGAAGCCGACTACGATGTTTTTTGCCAGATTCATTCATTTCGTGCAAAAACGTGTCGAATTACCCTAATTTCATCAAAATCGGTGAGTAGACCCGTCTACTGCATAATTACAAAAAAACGTAACGAAAAGTAACAATTTTTTTATCGTTACTTTTAAGTAACGGTAACGCGTTAGTTTTTAGAATCGGTAACGAGTAACGGTAACGAGTTACTTTTTACCGCAAATAACGGTAACGGTAACACGTTACTTTTAAAAAGTAACTTTCCCAACTCTGATCATTTCTTAATAATCATATCCTAATTAAGGGGCCTATTCTGTAACTTTTAACGATTGTAACGATATTGTTACATTATCATTGTGCAGGTTTTGTATACCGCAAAATAGCTGCGCAACGATAATTTAACGATATTGTTAGAGTCGTTAAGAGTTACGGAGTAGGTCTCTAAATATTGTTACTCTTATCACTTAGGTCATGTTCGATATACACTGCCAGTACTAACCTATAATTCATGTTATATATATTATAAATTTTTAGTATGGCAATGTAAATCATAACGCTTTAATAACATATAATTTCTTATACCTTTTGCCACTCTTTAGCTTGTTTTTGAGGTCCGCTTCCAGCATTTAAGGATGTAGTGATAGAAGTTCACATATCATCCTGTGTAAGCAAAATTAATTTGCGTATTATTGTATGTACTTATTATTAGGGGAAAGTGGGCGAATTGTGCGCACCTAAGGGATATTTGTTTTTCTGGGATGGTTTTCTAAGTTCAAAGCGATATAAATAGGGAAATAGAAACTATAAACATTCTCCTACCATTACGTATTCTTATATTGAACAGATTTTCATTCAATAAGGTTGTATTTGGCAAAAAGGAAAAAACGGAAAAGCGAAAAAATTTGTCACGCGTCGGGTAATTGTGCGCATGGGTTAAAGAATTGTGCGCAAAGCAAAAGTTGCAGGAAGTGAATGAATTATGTAATGTTGACAAAGAAAAAATCATAAAATACATTTATAACATTGTAATATAAAAATATATATTTCCTATATTATATATATTTAGCAAAAATATAAAACTACCCAGGTAAGGTTTGCCGACTATCAGCCGACGTTGACGTTGGGCCGACGTTGGCGACATCACGGCAAACTGACTATCATTAATCGAACATGGCACAACGTCGGCCCAGGCTCCGTTAGCCGACCCTTATCTAAAGACGACTTGAGGCCACCGTCGGACCAAGATTGGGCCAACGTTGGCAGTATGTCGGCACTCGGTTGTCACGCCAATCACGGCGCGACGTCGGCCCAACCTCCGATAGCCGACCCTTATCTGAAGACAACTTGAGGCCAGCGTCGGACCAAGGTTGGGCCAACGTTGGCAGTATGTCGGCACTCGGTTGTCGTGCCAATCTCGGCACGACGTCGGCTCAACGTACATTAACAGAGTCTGACTTAAAGACGACTCTTGGGCCAACGTTGGCAGTATGTCGGC